TTGGTTTGCTTTAAAGAAAAATAGCTGCTCTTAGAGCTTGTGAGGTAAAAAAAGATAGGAAGTTGTATATAGCTCAATTCAGAGGGAAAGGAAAGAAACAGGCAGAAAATGTGACGGTTTGTTCAACAGAAAATAGGGGCAATCAGGAAGGTTTAGAAAGGAGCTGAGCTTCAGCCCTGCAATGTCCAAGTTGAGCTGAAAATGTAGAAAAAGAAATATCAGAAAAATTTTATTGAACTGCATACAGGGCACGAGGAAGGAACATGAAGGAACAGTATGGCTTTGGTTTTGCACTTTAGGAGAGCTGCAAGAACAGAGCAGATTATGTAAAATACAAAGCAGAGAAGAGTAGCAAGTGAAAAACACAGGCGTAAAGTAAGACATGGTTATTCTGCAGGAATGACTGCAGAGGCAGAGAATATGAAGTGCTTGGAGCAGGAACCTGTGTCCACTTATATCCCCTGATTGTCCACTGACAGCTCCTGAAGGCTCTTCATTTCCATTTCCTCACCACTGACTAGACCCAGTGAGCAGAATCAATGAGGACAGACGTGCCTTTCCAGGCCAGCACGGAGGAACTCCCACAGGGGGAGTTCACATTTTTTTAAAAGTGTGTTGGCAAACTTTTTCATTTCAATGGAGCAAAAAGTCTAGGCAGTTAAAGTTTGTTAAAGTAAAATTCTTTTCTGCCCCTAAATTCTGCCCCTAAATACCAAGCATTGTCCTTTGTAACTGCCTTATTTCCAAAAACAAGAACTTTAAACAATTTAAGAATTACACGTGGTTACTCATTGTAACGGAAAGGGAATTGCTTGTAGGACTGATGAACTCCACTGTTACGTATGAAAGATAGCCCGTTAGTAACTACTTGATATGCTTTTCTTTAAAATGACAGCTTAGCAAAGGAACTTAGTGTTTGGGTCAGCACTCCCATAACACTTCATGTGATTCCTGGAGTGTTCAGTCCTCCTTTTAGTGTGTGCTTGAAATTTCAGCAGTCACTAGGTAGCTACTGATGACTACAGTTATGTTGTATTTTCTTTCCTCAGAAATTTCCTTCTCCTTCCTACAGCTCCTGATCCCATCCTGATCATATTTACATGGCCTCCCTTGATGTGTGCTCAGGAAGACGAGCCCTGTGGAGAGGACTTGCTCCTGAAGTGGCTCAGGTTTCTGGGGGCCCAGCTCTGCAGTCTGCACTCAAGAAGATTTTAACAAACTTCGTTGTCCCCAGCTACAGACCAAGATGTACAAAGGGAATTTGAAGTTTCAGGTGACAACTTGATTCCAGTGTATTGCCCACCTACAGCTACTTGGAGCTGCTGTTGTCTCATAAGATCCAGAGAAGAGATTTCTCCCGAGCCTGTGTGGTGGCACCAGGCTCAGAAGGTCCCTCTGACCATACGCAGTGCAGGTGGCTGCTGAAGTCCCTGGAGTCCCTGACTCTGGCAGCCCCCTATGACAAAGAGAACCCCAACAGTGTGGTGTATCGTGATCCTTGGGAACTTCACGTTGCTTGAATAAAGTTATTTTCTTTGTCTGCCTCTGGCTACCACAGTATAAATGGTCTAATTTAGTAGCATGGAGAGCAGCATGTGATAAGATCTGAGCTTAGAGAGGTCAAAATACACTTATGTTGTATGCTATATACACTATATATATAGTACATGCATACACGCATTCATGTGTGCGCAGGTACATACTATGAAGTGTTATATAATGCTATATACATGAAATTTTACTGTTTGGAAGCCCCTCTCTTGGTCTCCCAAGAATGCATGCATTAAACAGCTTAAGAAGCACCTGATTATTAATGACTATGTAACAATTTGCAGAAGTGCACATCATTATCATATAGATATTTATGCAAATGAAATTAATCAATTCATGTTAGTGCAGTCAGCATATTTACCTAATTAGCTACATGTGTTAGTTTCTATCTTTCCATGGTGACGAATTAAATGAAAAGAGCTTTAGCTTAGCTTCAGCTCCAGCTCCAGGTTCATTGACACTGTCCAAGTAACGTTTTTCATATTGACCAAAATATCTTGCATGTCTGTCTCTTTTCTATTATTTTTTTCTCCCATGTCCAAGCTCTTGTTTTACAAAAAAGCTGACAATCAATGGACAAAATGCACATGCAGTAATATTTCTAAAATTTCCAATCGGAATTTTGGAAAAAATATATGGATTTGTTATTTTAGTGAGATATTAACCATGTAACTAACACGACTGTATTTCAGTCCTCTGCATTACACTGAATCACTAAAGCTCAGCTACATGTCTTAGCCTTTCTACTGCTGACCTCTGGAGATTGTCCCTTAACTGTGTACTTTCAGAACAATAAGGTATATTCCTGCTTTGGCCATGGCATCCAAATGTGCATACTGCTCAACATAGTGACTAAGTAAATGCACTGGGAACTGTTTATGTAATAATCGTATATGTATGTATAGTCATGCAATTTCTGTGGTCCCCTACTTTGTATTACATATTAAAGAAACAAGCAGAGGAAAGGAACACTTCTTTATGTGTATTTTTTAAATCAAATGCTTGGAAAAGTTTTGGATCAAGATTTCTGATTTGAGCAAGTTCAAATATTTTAAATCTTGCAAAGTACAAGAGGCTGCATTTCAGATCTACTCAGTGTTGACATATGTTTAGATCCAAGACTTCTGTCCAGGCCCTTTGGTAACTAAAATATCTGAAATAATATTTTAGGAATAAAAATAAAATATTTAGGATTTTATCTTATAAATCTTAATAAATTATCACTGACAGCAATGAAATACTGTTTATGTAAAGGCTCATTAAAGACTGCAGAATGTTATCTAAAATTTTATTCTCTTAAGTTACTGAATGTATTCAATTAAAATTAAATTTCAAACACATACATTTCTAATGCAGTAGAAACAATTTCTGTGCTTTCCATTTATTATTAGAAATACACACTGAACCCTACAGTTTGTTTTGTCAAAGCCAAGGAAGAAATATTTTACGCTTAGGGTGGTGGAACACTGGAACAGGTTGCCCAGGGAGGTGGTAGATGCCCCGTCCCTAGAAACATTCAAGGTCAGGTTGGACAGGGACCTGGGCAACCTGATCTAGTGGAAGATGTCCCTGCTCACTGCAAGGGGGTTGGACTAGATGACCTCCATCTCTTCTAACTCAAACTATTCTATGAAATGGAATACAAACCTCATGAGATTCCAAAACTTTTGGTTTCAGATTTGTTACTGATGAGACCAAACGGTTTTCCCCCACCTCCCGTCATAGTTCTCATCTATAATTCTCCTACAGTCATTGTTATTGCCAGTGATACAGAGTAGGATTAACCCCAGGTAGCTTTAGGTGTTTCAGAGTTAAGCACATAATCTAAACAAATCATCACGGAACTTCATCCCCATTGAGTGGAAAGAGACGCCCACCTCCAGAGGCCAGTTTCTCATCAACCCCTGACACCTCTTAGAACACTAAATGCCTGTCTTTCTCTACTGACTAGGTAATTAGCTTAGATTAGCCACTTCACTTTAAGTGATTAAAATCGGGTTGAAGTCTCCCTGTGGAATTTACAATTCATGTCATCAGTTCCCTGTACCGTGTAAATGGTGTTATGACAAAGAATAGTTATTCCTATATTTTGAAATGTATTTGCTGGTTTTGCAGACAATGAGAAAACAGTAGTAATCTAAATTTGACAATGCATTTTGCTAGCCTTTCAGCAATGGAAAAAACAATGTAATCTGGAAAGGGAACAGCATCAAGTGTAGGCTGAGAAATAATCCTTTAACCCCTTTATTCTCACAGACATGAATAGAGAGTGGTTTGAGAGCAAAATATCTTTTCAAAGCTTTATACTTTTCATGCAGTGCCCTGAGTTAGCACTGATAATGTTCGTGGATATCTTGTTCAGGCTTGTTCAAACTGGGTAACACAATATGTCTACTGAGAAATCCTGCTGTAGCTAAAAACATTTGATATATTCAAATTGTCTGTTTTCAGAGTATGTACAGCAATATTTCTACCCATCTCAAATGACACTTTCAAAAAAAAAAAAGCAGGATAACTTAATATTGTTGTATAAATTTAATTGCTACCATTATATGTTGTTATGTAGTTAATGATGGACAAGATATTTTATCAATTAAGAGATAAGATTCATATTTCTTGTACCAGTCAGGTGTCAGAGAGTAAGACATCTGTTCTGAAAAGCTGATAATATGATCTGAGCCTCATGCTCCTGGAAATTTATTAATCTGATATCTAGTCAACTGGCAAATTTTTGTTTGTGTGCTTCCCGGAACAGACACAAAACAATGAACTGCTCGAGCCCATTAATTACATTGTCATAGTTAGCAGTAGCTTTCAGTTTGCTACTTTCCAGCTAGCCCAGAAGTATAGCCTTCACAGTTTCAAAGAAACCAAAGCCTATTAGTAGCAATCAATTGTCTCTACAAACATTTGCAAAATGGACTTACTGAACATGAAGACAGGTGGAAGTTCACTGGCTCATTTGCTTTTCCTCCTCTATAGTTTATATTAGATGCTTTTGCATTCCAGTCCTCTCCACAGGACGGATAACTGAAAACATCAACCCTACACGGGAGCAATTTCCACTGCTGGAAATATTAACAAAAAGGAAATTTTAAGAAGTCCAGATGCCATCAGAGCTTTGCAGTGTCTAGCAGACCTTTGGGAAACATTGCCTGAGCTCAATTTAAATGAGGAAATATTTAAGTTTTAGTGAAAAAGATGTGACCACTTGTGCACGGCAGTTTTTGACAGGCAGCTGGGCTTCACAAATACCTTACCAAAAAAAAAAAAAAAAACCAGCAAAGGTGTAGAGTACAACTCCTGATCCATCCTGATCACAGAGAAACCACAGATGTCCATTTTCTTGTGTACTATCTCTGACTAAAGTTTGTGGTTTAACAAAACACGATAAAACAACAGTAGTATTAACTTTAACAGGAGAGCAGGTGATGTTTAAATATCCTTACCAGCGTGGTCTGTGGAGGAGTCAAACTGAATCTCGGGAGCTGTGCTTTCTGCGTGTGTAGAAGCTGCTGGTAGTCTCAGAATGAGCTGATCCACGTTGCTTCCCACTGGCTGTTGTTGATCAGACCCGGCAGAGCTGAGGACCAGGAGAGATTTACCCTGCTGCCCCACTCCCTCCCTGTGGAAGCTGTAGTACTTTCGATTCTCCTCTCCAAAATGGGGACTGAAAGTCTCAAAAGGTCGGCCCTGTTTGCCAGCTGCTTTTTCCCGGGGCTTCGAATTTTTCTGAGAAAAAGTGCCACCTGGCTTGCCACTGTAGTTGGGCCCATAATCAGCCAGAGGACCTTCACCTGGCAGGTTTTTCAACTCTTGCAAACTTCGTTTAGAAATGCCAGGTGCCCCTGTGAAGGACTCTGCAGTACCACTTCCTTGGGTGGTTGCAGTGCTGCACAGGGAGCCTACTTTTGTCACGTGAAACTTGGCGTGTTTTTCTTCCATCCCACCCCGTTCTCCTTGCTGAGTCTCTGCCTTCTCCCTGCCCTCTCCCCTGCGTGCTGTCTCTGCAGACCCAGCTTTCCCCGTGCTCCTTGCAGGCTGCACACCCATGGGCTGCTCTGTTTTAGCTGGTGTATCTATTTCCTCAAACATTTTTCCTATTATTCTTTTCCCAGTGTCAACATTTTCCTGGATTTTTTGTGTTTCTCCTGACATGTCTTCTTTCATGTTGCTGCCAGCATGGGAACTATCAGAACCCCCTCTGTCCTTTTGTACTTGAGGAAAGCTAGCCAGGTTTTGCAGAGATGGGTCTGATGGTGGTTCTGAGTAACCAGTCGTTCCTTGAAGGGGACAAGCATCTGGGATTTTTGAAGTGCAGGACAGCTCCATCTTCTCTTTTTCTAAAGGAGGAATGTACTTTGTAGGACTTTTGACTCCCTTTTTCTTTCTGAAACCACATATATTGTTGCCATCAACTTCATCATTGTCACTTTCAGATGTGTTCTGTAACCAGCAATAAAATATACAACCAAATAACACTCAACAATGAAACAGAACATGGCAATGGAGTACTACCACAGCTACTTTTACCTGACAGCACTTCCATTACTTCTTTCTGATGGAGGTTTCTGTGGACACTTACTAACCCTCAAATTCTGCTAGTTTGATTGTAAAAATTCTCACATTATTCTTTTTCTTATGTTTTAGAACCAAATTGGTGAAAACGCCATAATAATATAGTTTTTAGGCAGATTTAGTAGATTAAAATATAAGACATTATACACTGTGTGACATCATTTGTCAAATGTGCTCTTTAAATGTGAAAAAAATTATTTTAATAATTACATTTAAGTATATTCTTGCCCATATTAAAAGCATTTATTTGTATTCAAAAAGAAAACTTACTGCCCTGAAACACAGATCATCAGCAGTACTTTAAAATAAATTTGTCCAAATAACTGAGCTTCTAGGGCAGTCGTCAAAGGGAGAAATCCCTATTTGGATGTCTAAACAGGAAAGAACCAGAAGATTATTTTTACCTTTATATATGGCATTGGTATGATTTATATTTTAGTTCTGGGAGCAGATTTCAAAATTGATGTAAACATGTGGAGAAGGTGCAAAAAAGGGGCTACAAAAATTAATCTGCTTGCATTATCCCAAAGAATATCATAGAATCATAGAATCATAGAATCATAGAATCATTAAGGTTGGAAAAGACCATATCAAGAAGTGTCTGGATCATCACCCCTCCTAAATATCCTGATCCTACCACAAGTGTTATTAATGTGATGGTGATAGGGAAAAAGGACAAGAAATCAAAACCAGATATGCTCAAATTAAAAAATAGCAGAGATTTTAATAATGTGGCTGATTAATAATTTCACAAACTAACAAGGTATGGATTGAATTCTCCATCTCACAATGTCTTAAAAAGACTTCACAATATGGTGTAACCAAAATATAAATCACTCCATAGCCAACCACAAATTGTTATATTGCGTATGAATACCTACTCAAGCATCTGTTTAAGACTCAGCAGCTTAACCAACAGTCCTTAGTTTGCTTGGGTTGGGCTGGAATTAACACCTGTAAAAACACTGGGAAACCAAGAGATATCCTCTGAATGAGACCGTTCTTTACCTTTTCCACAAAGCAATAATCTGCACTCTCTCCAATTTCTGAATTTCCAGAAGAAGTAGGGATCTGCACAAAAGCAAAGTGAATGCCAGTGTGGATAAGGCAAAAGAGATTCCTGTTGGCAGACAAAAGCACGCAGAAGAAAAGGCAGCAGTGTCTAACGTGCATATGGAAAGAAACAGTTACATGGCCTCCATTAAGGTCATCAACACCTCCCTTTGTCTATATTATTCCTGCCTGTTCTCCCTGTTTTCTCATTATGCTATTTTCCATCATTGTCTAGTCAAAAAAGGCTCATGACTTCTCTCCCAACACAGCGCTCACAGAAATGTTTCCTTCCTCTCTCCTTGCTCTAAATTTCTGTGACATGCCGTACGTACAGCTACTTTGGGAGCTTGCTGGGGCATTGCTGTTGGCACAGAAGGCAGCTGGCCACCAGCTCTATCGGGAGGACAAGCCACTCTGTGCCTGTAACTCCTATGCATGTTCTTGACAGGGATGTGCTTGTGATGCTCACTAGTAATCAAACACCGTTACTGGCTCATACACAACAGAAATCCTCACTTATCTCAGTTTTAGCACTCAATTCTTAACTCATTTCCTTGCCTAAAGGCTTTGGTTTATTCCCATAATACACCCTATAATGCCATGTAAAATAATTCTGGGGGTATTGCTGATACCTCTACACATTCACCCATGCAGAATAGGACTAATTCCTACAGCTCTGCATCGTTATGGAATATAAATGTAATGAAGGAACTTCACTGAATAGCAAAGCAGACAAAAACTGCTTATAATGGAGAATTGTAATGGAGAATTTTAACACCTCCATTAGTAATACAAGAAAGTGAATGAAGCTGGGGGGAAAACAGTAGGGGTGGAGGAACCAGTGTCTGCCAAATGGAAAAACCCAGAAAACTTTGAAAGAAGAGAGGCATCAAATTAAATTTTTAGGTGTATAAAATTATTTTTAAAATATTGTATTTTTAAATGAATTTAGGAAAAGTATTTACTGAAATATTTTTTGTGGCAGAGATTGCCATCGTTAAAATATCCTGATTTCCACTTTACGAAATTTTCAGACTTCTTGAGTTTCCTTTGAATAACTTCAAAGCAGTAACATAACTGTAACATCATCTGCATTTCTGCTTTATAATGTATTCCCACTCTCTGTGCTCAAACATAACCATTGAAAATTTCAGTGTTAGACTAAGTTTTTTCCTGTTGCCCCTATTGTAGATTTCTGAAAAGTGTTCAGTAAAACGACTGAAGGAAAGATGAGCACATCTTTTTTTCTAACACCTGTATACTGAAGTGAGACAACGAGTACTCCATGTATCCAAAGCAAACTGTTCACTTAATTAGCCCCATTCTAACTGGTTTCATGAACAGAAGGTACCATCCCCACATATAATCCCTTGCAAAACAAATTCTGTCTGAACAGAGAGGACTGATCACTTGTAAATTTGTTAATGAAAACATTCATTTGCAATAGAACTCTAATGTATCTCTATCAGTCTGCAAAGGGTTTATTTTCCATGAAGAAACTGAGACTATGGTACTGCATTTTGGTTACAGACCTGAAAGAGGCACCGCACCCATTGCTCTTAAGAAACAGTGATTACTTTTAACTTCAAATAAACAAAACTCTTACATTTATGCTGAGAACAACCTATGAGCATAAGGTCCTCAGCACAAGGCACACTGTGACTTTGTGCAGGAGAAGGACTCTTCACTTCTACATAAACTCAGACATTTATGGACTGGCGTTTAGAAATCCTTCCGAGTACTTTCTGCACTTACTTTCCGAGTACTTTCTGAATTCAGCTGTGCCAGATTTGTTGCAAGGTACAAACCCTTTAAAGGCAGTCATATGCATGAGTTACAACACAGCCTTATTTGTCTAGTAGTTTGTGTGGCGTCAGACATCAGAAAAGGCCTAGTACCTGTGCACAGAGGGGACAGCACCCAGGAAATAGGACTTATAAATTATCCATTTAACTTTCTATTTCAAGCAAGTTTTTTCTACAGATTACGGAGATGATTAAAAAAAAAATAGCAGCTTGAAAGAGTTACAGTGCAAGTGAGCACACAGATCATGACTTAATTTCATGGCACCACGTGTCCTGCTGTGCTGGAGGGAAAGCAAAACAGTCATGGCATTAATATGGCAAAAGTTCTGATTGTTTTTTATTTCTTTGCTGAATGTTCTTACATTTTTGTTGCTGTGTGGCAACAGTAGCAGGAGATACTAAAGCTACTGGAAAGTTCTTTCGGCCAACATTTGTTTCAGCATCATTCCATTTTTGTTTGCTTGTTTTCAAATATTTACAGGCACCCTAAGTCAGAGGTCTTGAAAGTTTTGAAATTTTCTTCTCTTTCTTAGCAAGTGAATGCTTGTGTGGTGATTCAAATATTCCTATCAGAAGGATTAGGTCCAAAATACAAACATTGAGGACCACATTGTGCAACAAATCTGAGATTTAGATTTGTCTTTCTAAAGATGTATCTGATGTTAATTGTCATTGATAGGTACTGGTACTCCCCCAGGTTCTGGTTTCCATCAGGACTCCTGGCACCAGTGCTGCAACTCATACTGGAACACTGACCGCCACTACGCTGGGGCTTTGCATCCGGTAAGGTTTTGGTAGAGGTGGACCAGCGCAAGCCCTACAACAGGCAGCAAAAGTAGGAGTGGATTGGGTGGATCAGACTTCATTTCCCATTGCAGATAATCTCAACTCATACAAACAACAGCTTTGCTTGTCTTCACTAGATACCTGCTGTGTCCATTCAGTACACAAGAGTCTGGACATCTGTGACTATCAACAGACTATAAGGGCTACTTGTGCACTACAGCAGCATATTAGGGCACCATGCAGGTAGGAAGAGGAGAGAATAGAGAACAGTATCAGCAAGCAAATATTTCAGCACTGTGCAGATGAAATGTTTTGCTCTGTTTAAGCCAATTACATGACACTTCTGGCACATCATCAGGCTTTTACAGCTGATAGACATTTTGTATCTTGTGGTAAGACAGAAAACACACACCTAAGGCATTTTTTCTTAATCAGTTTGTGTTCACTTTTGAGCTTCTTAAAAGCTCTGAAGAGGAACAGTAACTATATCACGAAATACAACGCTGTCAAATGGCAGTTCATCTGTAAACCTGACAGTCCACAAGCTGAGAGCATTTGGAAATGTAAAGTGTTGCCTTTGGGAGGAATAATAAGTGCTGAGATTTCTGGTGTGTGAAACACAGGTGAAAATCTAAGACAATTCTTGAACTTTTGCCTTAAAACAATTTTATAGGTGACTGAAAACATATTTGTAATGTTCTGTGAGGCGTATTCAGAGGCTGCAGAGGGGGTCTTCTATTTTTCTTCTACATTTTGTTTGTGTCATGACCTCAGGCAAGACTGCAAATGCTAACCTCTCTCAAAAACATATTGACAAAAAGAGACAGGCAAATGAGAAAAAGAAACTCACGCTATAGCGTTTGAAAGGAAAAAAAGGGAGAGAAGGAGTTAGTTTAAAAGGTGCTCTGAGTAACTGTAGATTAATAGCTGCAGAAGGATTTCTATCACAGAAAAAGGTGAAAGAGGCAAGGTGCAACTCTAGCAGGAGTTTTTGTATATCTAATCAACAACATAACCCAATGTTCCTGCTGCTGGCTACCCAAAAAAGTGATGCAAACACTCAGCAAAGGCACTGTGGTCTCAGTCACATTTTTGTTTTCTCTTTTGTTTCAGATTATTAAGCAATTTTAGCCATTATTTTAACTGATTGTTAAAAGGTCAAAATATGATGATCTTCCTGAGTTATTGCTGATGATTTTTCAAGAATGAAAGATTAGTTTTGCAAAGAACAAAATGTCAAAGTCTGGTATAACTAAGAATTAGAAAAACATGGGATACTGAAACAGAAAAGTCAAAAATATGTAAGTTTTGGTCAGCTAAATATTTTATTTATAAGAAGTTAAACTGCTTTATTTAGGTTTGGTGGTTTTTTTTCCTATGATATAAAACAAAGTTGAAAAACTGAAACAAAATGTTTCCAATCTAAAAAAATCTACAAATATTTTCAACGGATGTTGACATGTGACATTATTCACATTGTTTGACCTTTTTTCCAGTTTTATTTCAAAAGTAACACAATTTTTCAAAGTATTTCAATTGCTCTGAAACCAAATGCTGAGGCACTTTTTCTGGCCCGCTCTGGCTGTTCCCAGGTTACCCTTTACAGCTCCCCCAGGATGGTACAGTCAAGTTTAATTAATCTTTTTGTGTAGTAGTGAATTTCAAAAACTAGAAGTCGAGTCAACATGAGATGCTGCTTAAGACCTTACACAATAGTACCCATAAAGCAAGTAGTCCCATGTCCAAGTGCCTTCCCTGCCTCTTCCCTTGACAGACGGAAAGCATTGCCCAGCTGCTCCCCCTGTAACCAGGCAGTAAAGGAGCAGAAGATGCAGGAACAAATTATCTACTCCTGGGAATTAATGAAGCTTCACTGGAGTTCCTGGAGCTACACAGATTTGTACCAGGAGGGAATCTGTCCATGGAATTGTACGGAGGACAACAGAGACATTTCCAAGGAGTAGCTCCAGGCACAGAGAGGGGTTTTGGTTCTGGCATGCAGTGCTGAAACAATGTGTGCTATGATAAACAGACACTTGTGGCTTGTAAGCTAGAGACATGAAGATCACAGTACATTGTCAAGATATTGCTGTGACTAATTTCTCCCTCACTGACACCGTTTGATGACGTGGTTCTTTGAGAGTCATTTACTGCTACAAAAACCTCCTAGTGAAGGACCTGCAAGTGGCATAGATATTAGGTACATGTGATTATTTTGCTGTTAGTGAAGCTGAAGCACAAACTTGCCATAGGTCACAGTAAGATACGCAGTAATGTTAAGCGCAGAAGCAAAGTCTCCTTCTTTCTTTGAAACTTTTAAATATACTCAAGATTATTACTGTCCTTCATGTGAAAATGAATGGAACGAGTTTAGCTCACAATATTGTACCACTTATTTTCACACCTGACACCTGTTTTTACCTGTTACTCCCATCCAAAGCCTCCATACTATGTATATGTTGTGGTTTGAACCCACTCAACTAGCAGCAAAACTCTATAGAGCCGCTCGCTCACCCTCCCCCCTCCCAGGGTGGAGGGAGAGAATTAAAAATGTATTAAATTAGCTTCTCAAGGTCATTGATTCTCTTGCTGCCTCAAAGCAGCAGCATTGTCCTTGTGGCAAGGTTATTTGCAAACACTTTCCCTTGGACTATGCCACCTGCACCATGTTAAAAAAACCCAAAACCCTAAAGTAAGATAGTGTCTCAAAATAAAGAAGCTGATCCTACCTTCAGAGTGATTTGAAACCGCAAAGGTACACTGCTGGTGTCATCTGCAATTTGCAGCAATGTAAATGAGACCTAAAAGCAGGATCCATTTAACAGCTGGCTAATTCTCAGGAAGACATTTGTGAGGGAGTGGAAGTAATGATCTACAAGACATTTGTGTCTAATTTCTGTGATGCATTTCATATACAAAGATGGTCTAGGAGGCAGTCAGTGATTCAGAGTAGGTGCACCTCTGGCATATAAAGTATCCATTTGTTCACCTTGATAAAAGTGTCTAGTAGCCTCAGGAATTCAGCCTGCACTGTTACTTCCAAGCCACACTACATGTTTCTCAATATTTCTAATTAAACATTTTAATGTCATGTTTTCACAATGAGATCTCAAAATAACAGATACTTTATCATTATTATTGAAAGTATAGATTACAAATTCAGGACCAGCACCTGTTTTAAAATGCACTCATAGAGAAACTCATCAGTTCCACTTAGGTCAGTAGCTTGACTCAAGAGTGTCACTTTATAATCCAGGTCAGACTCTGGTCCACAAATTGTAGTGCTTTCATTTACATTAATAAAGCCAAAGCCAACCTGTTTTCCCACAATATTAATGGGATCAGATTTTAGACCTCTAATTCTATTACTTTTGATAAAGTTATAAATAAAAGATATAGGAAGTTAAAATTAGTTAGATGGGGTTTTTTGGCTTAAACAAGACACCTTTCTTTGACCTGCCTTTGCTTCAGAATTAAACCATGCTCAACATACATGAATGAATAGCCTTGCACATGATCCACAATGAAGTATCCACTCCCTTGAAATCTTGAGGTGGATGCAAGAAGCACTGTGTATCAGCATATCTGCTCAAAAATTATTCACAGTCAGTCTCTTACCTGCTGAGTAAGATCTTCCTTTTTGCTCATGTCCACTTCATTCTAGTACCAGTCACCATTAGAAATGGCCTAGTAAAAATCTAGTAGAAAGACAACCTGTATTTATAGGCACAGATATAATAAAGGTTAGTTAAAACAGAATTGCTGTAAAGTTCTTTTCCCAGAAGGCCACGCAGATGAGGAACTCTAAAGAGCAACCCCAACATGTCATGGCCAAGAGCACCACTTTCTGGAACAGCATGAGAGTAGGAAACTGACAAATGCACATTATTAGCTGTCTGCCTGCCTGGAAACAAAGACAGCTGAGTATAAAACGGTTTTGCTCAACTTTTCTCTTCACAAAAGGCTTTTGTCCTGTAAAAAGCCATTTCTGTTCTGGAATAGAAGCTATTGTTAGGCTCCTTAGAGGTAAAACCTATACTGGGCATTGTAACAGCCGTGTGTTATTGAGGCCCATGGACAGGGATTTGAAAGGCACGGCACACTACAGGAACGACATGCAGTACTGGCCTGTTATTCTAGGTGATTGCAGTTGTTTATTAATATTGGTGGACCTGGCTGTGTCAGAATTGGGAGGGAATTTTTTGTATTAGATCTCTAAAAATATTTCAAAGATTAGATAGATAAGCTTGTCTTTCTTATGCTTTTTTATTTATCAAGTTTAACATGAATTCAAAGGACTGTGTTTAAGTGACATTTCATTCAGTCAGGTTCCCCTGGCTGACATAACATTACAGGATGACGCATGTGCTTACAGCAATCCTTCCTGACAACGAATCACTCAGTAAAGTCAAGCAAGCATAATGTTAAGATTGACATTTAACCCTGTGAAAATGCAGGTTTGACTTTTTTTATACTTTCAAAAAATAAACTTAAAAAAAAATTAGTTTGTTCAAATTACCCCATCAAAATAACAACTATGGGTTAGGAGCTACATTGCATAAAAATCTTGGGCATCACCAGTGATATGCATAAATACAGCTGCCCAAGTCTCAAATTGTGATTCTGAAAATCCTTACTTGTCTCAGAGGCACTGAAAGGCTCCTAACCTTGTGGCTCCATCTGCACAGTATCTGTAGCTGTCCCTGTTCTGAACTCCGCCACTTGCCACAAAGCAGAGCAGGCAACAACTGAAAGTTTATTAGTATTCAAGAAATAGGCTTACTTATAAAACATTTTGTCAAGTAGACTTTAAAAAAATCAACACCCAGCACACTCCAGGACTGGGTTCCTGCAAGACAGATAGGATGGGAGCTAGCATTTTGCTTGCAGAATACTTTTTTCCAAAAAAAGTTGCCCTCAGACTGTCGTCATATAACAGTTAGTAATATTGTACAAATCTCTTTTTTATGTGACTTAGAGACCTATAGCTTGCCATGGCAGAGTTGTTTGTGAGTCTATGTTGTGACGAGCCGTGCTAAAAGGAGAACACTTTTGAGCAGGACTACTCTGACCAAACACTGAGAAGCAGAGGCCAAGACAGAAACAGGACTTCTGGCTTCCCATTTTTCACATTTTGAATGCAAGCGTGAACAACCTCAGCTCATAGTTTGAAAAAAGACACACTTCATGTTAAAAAACATATTCATCAGAGCAAGAAAAATGTTCTTCACAACAAGGACGGTCAAGCACTAGCACAAGTTGCCCAGAGAGGCTGTTGGATATCCATCCTTGGAGATATTCAGATCTTGACTGTATAAGGCCCTGAGTAATCTGATACAACTTCAAAGTTAGCCCCAATTTAAGTGGTGGATCAAACCTAATGACTACCACAGATGCTGTCCAGCCTAAATTGTTCTATGATTGTACATCTCACTCATTTACACATATTTTTAATGAACCTCATTACATTTTTGCAAGTACAAAACATCTCTACCATACGTTGCATTCTGTTCTACTCTGTTCTGCTAAACAGAACATAAAGACAAGAAAGAAAAACTTGTGCCTTAAAGAGTGTCGTTTTTGAGGCACCAGTCTTGCAAACACCATTAGTAATTAATAGCTTTTTCATTAGCACTGGAAGGATCAACTATTTCCATCTCAAGTGCCTATTAGACGCTCCTAAAAACAGTTTTGCTTTGTTTTGTTTTGTTTTGTTTTCTGGACAGAGTGAAATAGGAGAGGGAGAAGGTTCTCTGCTAACACCTATCTGCGAGAGGCTGCTGGTCTCCGTAGAACTGTGTTGATCCCAGTTCCAAGGTTGGCAATTATATGTCCAGAAAAATGAGATATTAAGTCTCTCCCTCACCACCATAAACCTATAAAATTCTGTACTAACTCCTTAAGGCTGGCATTACAAAGCCGAAGAAGAAATTCAAATATCAAAATCCCTTCAGGAAAATCTAATCAAATGTGTTCCTTCACCAACTGGATGTATTTCTGGTTTTACCTCTAACCCTGTGCCTTGCCATCATTATTAAACAACCTTGCAGTTGCAAGTGTATTTTTCTTTGTCATTTCTTCACAGAGGACATAAAATCTTATTCGGCATCAAGATTTGCAAAAGACTTCAGCTAGTTAAATTCCAGTTCATATTGCCACCTAGTAAAACATAAAAATGGAAAAATTATTGGAGCTCAATTTCTGTAGCTATCCTTCTGCTAGGTTCTCTTTTAGGATTTCTTCATTTCTTCAAGTCAGACAAGTATGCCTTGTCGGACTGCATTTATCCAGTATTCCCCATTTACTGCCTAGGGATTTTTCCCCCAGATAGGTAGGTAGACATACCACAACAAAGCACCGCTCAGTCCTTTATTTGCAGGTACCAAAAGGTAGGCACAAGTGTTACTCACAGACAAGGAATAAGACAGAAAAATTGGCCTATGATGTATTAGAAGTTAATGAAGTTAACTTTTGTATCAATTACATATATAAGAAATCCTATCAATAGGTAATAAGCATTTATTTTATACTCATAATAACTACAGTTGTCAAAAGGGTTGATTATTTGAAACTGTGGCACTATTTGTGCTTCAAATGATGCCTCAATATATGCTCTCTGTAATTTCAGCATTAAAATTAAATGCCAGACCTTATTACACCTTTCTCAATTCTTGTTCTTTTATAGATCAAATGCATAAACAAAATACAGGAACCTTTCTATTTATTTTACTCTTGCCAACACATTTGATTTATTTTCTGTACTGAAAGTTTAAAACTACTTTTCAGATCATAAAGAACCTCTGATGAGGAGATCATGAAGAGCCTGTCATTCTGTGAGTCAAAGTGATACTCTTACACAAACAGACAAGCTCTTGTGAGTTTATTAATTCCTAATAAGAGGAATCAAATACATTTGCATCCTTTCCATTGCTTCCTCTGTCTTATTAAGTGACTTCAAATTATTCTGGCTGTTTTATCTATTGCCTTATTTTTTGCTTTCATTCTCTGCCAAAAATAGAACTCTTCCAGTCTGGAAGCCAGTCTGTTCTTCACATATTAAACAGAGCCTTGTGCCAAAAGTCTTTCCTCACAGACTGGCTTTTAGTTGCAAGGCATATGCTATTTTACCTGTTCCTGCATACAGCTGTCACTGTAAAAGAATTTTTAAAAAGTTACAGAATAATGTTAAGAGCTTTAGACAGGCGATAAAGAATATTAAATCGGAAACAAAATAAGACAACAGCTAGAACAAGAATTCCTGTGTCCCCAGTTCTGCCCAATACACCTTCCTCCTCCTCCATGGCCACCACAGTAGCAATAAACACTCACTCCCTTGGCAGTCACGCACTGCCGCAGGGCAGATGGTGCAGTGAGTCAGTAGCCGCAGAGCTGTGCAGCAGCTAGAAAACTGTGTCTGTGCTGTCCTACGCCTCTTCCAGCACGGCACCACGTGGGAAAGCTGCCTCACAGCGTGGCCCTGCCTGCAGCCCATCACACCTACCCCACGCTGAGGCATAACCTGGGACAAGGTCTGGAGAGGGCGATAAGCAAGCAAGGTGCAAGAATCACAGAATCACAGAA